CCTTTCACCCATTCCCCCACACCCTCCTCCCATCTGGCAACCATCAAAATACTCTCCATATCCATGATTCTGTCTCTGTTCTTCTTGTTTGCTTAGTTTGTTTTTTAGATTCAATGGTTGATAGATTTGTATTTTTTGCCATTTTATTAGTTTTTGTAGGCAAAAGGTCTGGGGACTTACCTTCCTAGCACTGGAACCCTGGGCTGTGGGGCCTAATGTGGGACTGGGACTCCTTGCTCCCAAGATATTCCTCCTGAATTTTTATCTACCACATGTTGGTGAGAGACCAGCTGGTTCCATGTCTGTGCCCCTCCTACCAGTCTGGATGTGGCTTCTTTAATTCCATAGTTGTCAGACTTCCATTCAACTCGACTTCTGACAATTCTGAGTGATGGTGGTTCTATATTTTAGTTGTAATTCTGACGTGGTTGTACGAAGAGGCAAGCCATGTCGACCTAGGCTGCCATCTTGACCGGAATTCTCACCATAGGGATTTTATGTATTCATTTGACATCCTCATGGTTCCCTTCCTTCATGGCCAGCTGGAACCAGTATCCTTTCATCTGAGTTCTTTCAGGGTTGTCCCATGTAAAGTCACCCCAGATCTCTTTGGTCTCCTCACTATTTTGTTGCCCTCAGAACCTTTATTTTGTACTCTTTGAACCTTTGCATGATTCCCCCTTTACATTGTCTTTTAGTGGGTTCTACATTAGCAAAATAAATAAAGCCTCTACATTAAAAGATATAAGATAGTAGTGCCAAGTAGTGTCACTCTGACTGTCTCCTATTAATCAGCTGATGTAACATTTAAGGAGCTTCATAATTTTTCCCACATTTTAAAAAACATTGTATTTTATTTATTTTTAGAAAGGGAAAGGGAGGAGGAAAGGGAGAGAAACATCAGTGTGTGGCTGCCTCTCATACACCCGCTACTGGGAACCTGGCCCTCAACCCAGGCACGTGCCCTGACTGAGAATCAAACTGGAGACCCTTTGGTTCACGTGCTGGCACTCAGTACACTGAGCCACACCAGCCAGGGCTTTTCCCACATTTTTTAGAATGCACAACATGGGACTTTGACCAGTGTCTGAAACAAGGGAAGTTTTGTGAGACTGAGTCAGACGCTGACTCCAGATAGTGTCAGAATAGGATTGAACAGTAGGGCGCCCAGTAGGTGTCAGACACTCTTAAGTGTTGTCAGAAAATACCCAAGTAACCACTGGAGGAGGTACTACACCCAGTGGCCAATGTGCTACTTACATTGTGTCCTATAACCTGCTCTTGATTGACTGAAAAGAGCTGCTTGGTTTATAGATGGAAGTCCCAAGGTAAACGGATATCCTCCCTCTGGGAAGGTGGCTCTGATTGAAGACGGACAAATCAATCAAATAAATCAGTACAGTATGCTGAATTCTATGCTCTTTGCCTCTTTGCCTGAGTTTTTACCAACTTATGGGCAGAATTCATGTGTTCATACCCTAACCCTCAACGCAGCTGTATGGAGAGAGGGCTTCTAAGGTAAACTTTAAGGTCATAAGGCTGGGACACGGATATGACAGCATTTCTGTCCTTCTAGGAAGTGACACCAGAAAGCACTCAAGTGCTTTCTGCCTCCACCTCCTTCTTTCTCTGTTTCTGCCATGTATGCATTTAGCCTGAAAGCAGCCATAGTAGCTCCATCTATTGTAGTCATATTGTTTGAACTAAAGCAAATTCTTTAAATGGGCATTTAAAGATTAAAAGAAAAAATTAAACATGCCCCCTCACATCTTTAAAATATTTGCTTCAGTATCACCTTTCCTATGAGTCTTACAGTGAATATCCTTAATGTGACAACACTTCCTTAACCACAAAATTTTTCATCATATGGGCTCTACTTTTTTCCATCTTCTACAGAACATAACACCCTCAGAAAACAAAAGAATTTGGTAATTTACTTTTATTTAATGCCCATTCCTGTCTCTAGAAGCTAGGTTCCATGTTAGCCTACTGATGGTTCAGCGTAGCTGCCATAGTGCCCAAAAAACCTAAGAACCTCAATAGCTGTCTGGAAGAACACTTAATGAATGACATCACAGATATCTGTTTATTTGAACCAGATACTTCTTTTTCTTTCTATTTAATGTACTGCTCTGTCTTCAATTCTAGTACCTTTGGTGAACTCAGGAATGGATTCATGTTTTGAGAAAAACTTTCAAAGTGATTGATAATTACAGTTAAGGAAGTGCTCAGTTTCATTCTCTCACTTACTAGATCCTATTGTTTTCTGGCCTGCTTGATGTTCCCTGAGATTTTTTTAAAATGTAAATTTAGCCCTGGAAGGTGTGGCTCAGTGTATTGAGTGCTGGCCTACAAAGGAAAGGGTCGCTGGTTTGATTCCCAGTCAGGGGACATGCCTGTGTTGTGGGCCAGGTCCCCAGTTAGGGGTGTGCAAGAGGCAACTACATGTCAATGTCTATCTCCCTCTCTTTGTCCCTCCCTTCTCCTCTCTCTAAAAATAAATAAAATCTTTTAAAAAAACATTAAAAATTATATTTAAATATAAACAGTATACAATATTATATTAGTTTCAGGTATACAAAATGGTGATTTGATATTTAGAATTTTTTAAAATCTTTCACAGGTAAGTTGTTTCCCAGCTATTTCTACACTTTTCAATACAAAACTTTAAAATTCAATATTAATTGCTTTCAGTAATTTGTACAATCTGGAAACGTTTTTCAAATATCATCTTCACTCCCTATGAAGATCTTGTGACTGAAATTACAGGTGACTTGATAATCATTTTACACCAAGAAGATGACATCATGGTGTCCCAAACCTTTATCTCAGGCTGAGATGCCCCTTTCACACCTGCACAGGTGTTACTCTGGCACCTGCTGTCCTGACTGCAAATATCATTTGGTAATTGTCTTTTTTTTAGATGGGTGTCAGATTCATTGACTTATATCACTGAAATCTAGTAAAAAAAAAAGGGGGAAATATAAATCTCTCTCTCTGATAATGTTTTCTGGGATTGGAACACAAATACATTTCGTATATAGTGAGGAATGATGCTTCCCCCTTTGCTCAACTTCTTTAGAGCTGCCTGATATTTCTCTCTCCTTACAGTTACAGCTTCTGTGAAATCTTTTCATTTTATCTGACTAAAGATGCTGAACCTCATGGCATTCACTCTAAACACTTCACACTGCAGACACGTGCCCAGAAATTAGGTGCTGCTGCTGTGCTCCCACCTCTGCGGAGTTGCTCAGGGTCTGAGCACAAGAGCTGACACACACATTTGGATTTCACGTATTCAGTTGTGAGCCTGTTGTGCTTCTGTCCATAATGATCCAGCTCTAAAATATCTGCCATCAGAAGTGTTGGCACTCTTCCTCCCAAGAGCACACCTATGCCTTTCCCTTCCTCTTCCTTCATCTCAGGAGTGCATCACATGAACTCTAAGGAACCCCAAGAGACTTGCAGCCAAGGGAGCAGTGGGCAGCAGCAGTTTGCCCCGGGTTAATCCTGTCTCCAAAGTCCGTTTTCTGTGACTTCTCAGTGAGCTGACAGTGTCCTTGCCTTGTCTCATTTCTGTTACTGTCACTTCTATTTCTCAGTGAGCCAGAGCAGCCATGCCTAGGCTCTCTCTTGTTGCTGCTTTTGTCCTAAGCCCTTCTTGTTTCACTGTCCTCAGCTTTAATAAACATACTTGTATAATTCTATATGGTTTTTTAAATGTGATCAATGAATATTTGTTAGAACACTGAATAAACATGACAACTCAAAATCCCTCTTTTATGGGTAGTCTTGTGGCTAGTCTAAATGTCCTCTCTCTCTTTTTAAATAGATATTATTTATTTATTTTTTTGATAAAGGGGAGGAGAGGGAAGAAAGTGAGAGAGAGAAACATCAATCTGTTGCCTCTTGCACACCCCCAACAGGGGACCTGGCCTGCAATCCAAGGCATGTTCCCTGCCTGGGAATTGAACCAGCAACTCTTTGGTTCACAGGCCGGTGCTCAATCCACTGAGCCACACCAGCCAGGGAGTTTTTTTGTTTTTATTTTAAAGATTTTTAAACGTCATCTTTAACTCTTTCCATAAAATGTTGTTGCTCAATGTGCTTGTGGGAAAAGCAGTCAGGTTTTGGAGATAGTATTTCAGGGTGACTAAGGTTCCAGAAGATTCACATACTCAGCTCGATTCTAGCTCTTCTTAGACTTCCATAACTTACCAAATTTCGTTGGGGTCTTAAATGATTTCACCCTTCTCTGATGTTTTCCCGAAGCTTTCTACCACTACCTTTAAAGAACCACATAAACATTATTAAAAACTTTGTGCAACTTCCATTTCACAACTGTTTTTCAAAAGATAATCTGAAGAAAATTTAAAAATAAAGAGATATTCTGAATTCCCCATACGGTACTCTCCCTTCAAAACAGGAGAAACGCTTTTTTCACAAAAATGACTCCAGTGCTTTCTTCAGGTTACATACATTTGAGGAACGATAAGATGATGTTTATTAGCTTCCATCTGAGAATGAATATATTTTATATCTGAATGACTTAATGGAGTGTTATGTCCATTTGTATTGGTAGTCTCTGGGGACATCTAAAATATGTTTAGTCTTTTGAAGTGCTGAGCTTTATGGGGTCTGAAATAATATTTCTAAAAACTTTAGGTGATCGCTTGCAGACAGCACTTCCCATACATAAGCGTGCAGCTCTTTTAAGAAGTAGTGAAGCTCTCCCCCCATCTGTATCATACCCCTCACTAACGCCTCTAGGATGGCCGTGGAGAGTGTGTGTGTTTCGGGGAGCAACGGGGTTGGGATTTGGGTGGAGACACCCTTAGTCCAGGCCTTTCGAGCGCGGGGAACTACATTACCCAGAGAACACTTCGCCGCACCGCGCCCAGAGGCAGTACAGTTGAGCCAATGAAGGCCCAAGGTGACAGCGTCTCCGTGCGTGCGCATCGCGACGGGGCGGGACTTCCGGCCTTCGCTGACGGTCATTTTGGCTATTCCGTGACCTGTTCTGGTCCCGTAGGGGTGGTTCGAATGGAGGTACCTGACGGAAAAGGCCCGAGAACTGTGGTGTCCGCAGCACAAACGCGGGTCTAAATCTCCGCGACGCCGCCCGAGTATCCCGTGACAGCATCTTGGCCGCCACCGCCGCCGCTTCCGCTACTCCCAGAGTCCGATGGCGGCGGCCGAGGTGAGTGAGCGTCGCCCGCGCCCTCCTCCCTCACCCCACCGAACCTTGCAGCCCCGGTGCGGGGCGCCTGTCACGTCCTGCCGGCCAGGCCCCGGCGTTCCGGACAGTGGGGTGCTCGTGGGTGATACACAGTGTGACGGGGGTGGGGCAAGGTGACGAGTTGTGGGGCCGGTGTGTAAAGATGCGCAGGGCGGCTGAGCCGGGAGGATCCGGGAACCTGGGATCCCTTCAGTGTCCTCTTGGAACAGAGTGTGAGGCGGAATCACACCCAGACTGTCAGTTTGGGGTGTAGTACCTCCATTCTGATGATTTGGGGAGCCATGGATAACCAAGGAGAGAGGAGGAACACGGTCTGATTTAGGTTTTTTTTTTCTTTCTTATAGTAAATTCTGATTTTAGTTATTTTAATTCTTTAATCCTCACCCGAGGATATATTTATTGATTTTTGAGGTGGGGGGGGGGGAGAAACCGACAGTTGCCTCCTGGACAGCCAGACCAGGGAACGAACCTGCAACCTAGGTAAGTGCCCTGACACTCGGTGGAACCCGCAACCTTTTGGTGCACCGACAACGCTCCATCCAACTGAGCCGCTCAGCCAGGGCTGACTTAGGGTTTTAAGTTTCCCAAGAGCTTCCCGGGGGAAACGACTGCATTGTGGATGATGAGGAGAGTGAGGCACAGAAAGATGGTAAATCCTTGTCATAGAGCTGGTGAGAGACAGCAGTGAGGACTGAAGCACAGAATTTAGTCTTTGAACCCCAGGTCCCTTGTCCTGAGGGTAGGGGAGGTTTTTGCCCATTGCAACCCCACTGTCGCAGCTTCTACGACCTGCTTCTGCTTACAGGTCCCTGTAGCTGAAGAAACACTCAATGACTCCTACCCAGCAAAGTGGAGGGTGTCCCAGGCCCTCACTGATTGCGATCCCACCCATATTGACTTTTGGGATTGTGGTGTTTGAGGGTTCTTTAGCTGCCATTCTCCCAGCCCTTGGGTTTGGGGACCTGGGAGAAGTCCTCGAGACCCCCCCTGAGCCCTGGCTGAAGGTTGTATGGAGGAGTTCCCTATTCTGCTCACCAGTAGAAAGAAGTATAGATTTCCTGGGAAAAAGTGAGAGGAAACATGAGACAGATGCAGAGGCATAGAACTAGTTGAAATAAGATGGATTTTCCAGAATTTTGTAGCAAGCTTTGGCAGGATATGGGGTGTGTCAGTGGTGGGTGCAGTTGGGGCAAATGTGGTCATTGTGAGGACCATGCCTCGTGTGGGTACCAGTGTAGCTGGGATGTTAATGAGGGTTACTTAGGTGGAGAGGGGAGAGTTGTAGCTGCTGAGGGGACAAGTACAATGCCAAAGTGAAAGGGGGTCATGGGTTTCTGAAATTTCATGTATGGCCTGTGTGACTAATATGGAAATGAGGATTAGAGCAGGCAGAGAGGCCTTCAAAGCAGCATCCAGAGCTACACCGGTGTTGGGATCCATCGGAGATCTTGGGTAGTACTGGATGGTGTTTGAATTTTCCAAGCTCTCGCTAGATGCCATGTACCAAATAACTTGGGGGGGCTGCTGTAGGATGACCATGGCGAAGGGAGGTCAGGGAGTTGGCAATGGCTGTGGGGTTGCAACTGTGGGTCTGAAGATGTGAGGGAGGTATGTGTAGAGAGAGAGAATGCGAAAAAATGGCTCCTATTACTGGAAACCTAAAAGGTGATGGGAGATCCCCAAGGCTGCTGTGCTTTGAGTCATGATATGGAGGACCACAAGGAAATCGCCTGAGAGGAATGGATGGGGCCCTGCAATGTAATCTCTTGACTTCAGCTGGTGTCTATTTGCCTACCGACCTGTAGTTGCCGAGGGCTGGGCACATTAAGGAACCGTAAGGAGCCAGCAGTACCAGTTGCATCAGACCCTGGTGTCTGGTCTAAGGTGGGGAACTTGGGAGGAGGATGGGCATGGGGTAGATGTTGGGGGGTGGGAGTGGGCTGTGGGTCCTCAGGGGAGAGGCTGTGGTTTCATCTGTCCCCGTCATGACAGGGCAGTGTGACTCTGGAGGATGTGGTTGTGTACTTCTCCTGGGAGGAATGGGGTCTCCTCGATGAGGCTCAGAGACGACTGTACTATGATGTGATGCTGGAGAACTTGGCACTTATATCTTCACTGGGTAAGACTCTTAAACCCACCTCAGTGCCCTGGACTAGATTTTGCCTTTGTGCTTTTTCCTATGGGCTGCTCCATCCTTCTTACCTGAGGCTATAGACACTACTTCTTTTTCTAGTATCCGGAGTAGTGCTGTTTTTGCTTGGGCTGGGTTGTTACACTGTTGTCCTCTCTCCTGCAGCCCAGTCCTGCTGCCCCAAACCTAGCAGGAGAAGATGGTGGTAATTAGTTTTAGAATCAGCTGGGTGGATCTCACCTTGCTTGCCCTCTCCTTGGCTGGGTGATCCATGGTACTTGTGTATCCCAGGTTTTGCTCCTTTCTTCTAACTGACAGTTCTTCATGACTGCCTGTGTAAGGAAGTGTTATCTCTGATGTGGGCACTCCTTACGTGTACCATGAGCTGTTCTTGTGAGAACCTCATCCAAGGTTCTTTTTGGAACATTTAGTTTTCTGTGGACAGTCATGTGATAAGTTTCCGTGGGCTGCTTCTGTCCGCTTAACTGTCCTGTCTCCCTTAGGACTTGCATTGTCCAAGTTCCATGTAATTGGTCAACTTGAGTTGATAGTGGGAAAGAGTCCTGGGTGCTTCATAGAATGGATATCAACCCCACCTTAGAAAGATGGGCTAAATGGGGCCTGGCCCTGCTGAGGGAAGACAAGTCCTCTGGGTTGTGTTCACATCTTACCAGGAACCTATTCAAACTAGTATTCTGGTTCCATTGTTGGTGTGACCATTTCTGTTTTTCCTTCCCCATTCTTGGTCCTTGGCCAGCTTGTCATTTTTGCTGATTTGTAGCCCCTGTCTACTCCCAACTTTCCTGCCTCCACCTGTTACCCATTCCTCTTCACTGCTGCCTCTGCAGTGTTCTCCAACCTTGGTTCACACTTAGAATGTGTGTGGTGCACATTCTTGGCACACTCTTAAGGTGGTGTGCACATCTCCTTAATAGTCCTAGAACAGTAACTCCAACTCCCTCATCTTGAAACAACCTCATGTATTCATTCTCTGATGTGTCAGAAACATATATACATATTTATGAATTGGCTGCCACTTGTCCCCAAAGACAACATGTACTTTACTAATATTTCTCTGTTTTTAGGTTGTTTGTGTGGCCTAGAGATTGAGAAACCACCTTCTGGACAGAGTGTTTCCCTGGGAAGATTGCCACAAGTCAGGACTCCAAAGCTAGATCCATCAATCCAGACAGCTACTCTCTGTGAAATGTGTGTTCCGGTCATGGCAGATATTTCGTCCCCAGCTGAGTATCGAGGAGCACATACTGGGCAGAAATTGAACTCATGTGTGGCATGTGGGAAACAGTTTTGTTTTAGTGCAAATCTTCAACATCAAGAGCACAATGTAATGAAAGCCTACAGCACAGAGGTGGACATGACCTCTATGAAGAGCTACAGAGGTCATTCATTAGGGAAGCGTTTCACCTTCACGGAGATTGGAGAGGATTTCTTCACCAGTGTGGGTCTTTTCCAGCACCAGGCCATTCCCAAAGCGCTACTGAGTATACATAGCAGTACCGGGTGTGGGGAGGCCTTTCACAATGGAAAAAGCCATTATATGTGTGGTGCATGTGGGAAAGCTTTCCGCCGCAAACGTACACTTGTTCAGCACCAGAGAATCCACACTGGAGAAGGACTGTATGAGTGCAGTGAATGTGGGAAAACCTTCAGCTACAAGCATTCATTTGTCCAGCATAAGACAATCCACACTGGAGAAAGGCCTTTTGAATGCAGTGAATGTGGGAAGGCCTTCAGGTTCAAATATAAACTTGTTGAGCACCAACGTATTCACACTGGAGAAAGGCCTTATGAGTGCAGTGACTGTGGGAAAGCTTTTGGATTTAAATCCAGACTCGTTCGGCATCAGAGAATTCACACTGGGGTAAAGCCTTACGCATGTGCAGAATGTGGGAAACTCTTTAGACACAGCTCCAGCCTAATTCAGCACCGGAGGGTTCACACTGGAGAAATGCCTTATGAGTGTGGTGAATGTGGGAAATTCTTTAGACAAAACTCCAGCCTCATTCAGCACCAGAAATTTCACACTGGAGAAAGTCCTTATGAGTGCAGTGAATGTGGGAAATCTTTTAAACAAAGCTCCAGCCTCATTCTGCATAGGAGAATTCACACAGGAACAAGACTGTATGAATGCAGTGAATGTGGAAAATCTTTTAGCCAAAGCTATAGCCTCATTCAACACCATAAACTCCATACTAGAGGAAGGCTTTAAGAGTGCACCCAACAGGAGAAAACCTTCATCTAACAGTCCACTCCGATCCAACACCAAAAACTTTACCATGCATATGAGTCTTTGGAATTCAGTGTGAGAATTCCACAAATGATAATGAATGGCATTAGACCTTGAGGGGCCATCTACCTTGAGCTCCAAGAATGTGAGTTTTCAGGAACTGCATTTTATATTGGGACCTGCTCAGGACCCCTGCTAGAATGATGCCAGCTTCCGTGACAGAAGTCATCTCACTTCTACCTCCTGGCAGGTCCTCACAGCATGTATCAATCACCACAACATGGTCAGAAAAGAAGGGCCCAGCCTGAGAACTTTTGGTGACATTTCACCTTCTTTGTGTCATTGCTGGTCTCATGTGGTATTTTGGATGGATTTTCCACCCTTCCGAGACCAACCTGGAAACTTTCTGCCTCACATTGCCCTGGATTGTGCAGTAATAATTCTTAATTGTTTAAGCCGCCTTTAACCTTAAGAGTTATAGTCATTGTGTGGGGTAGGTTGAGAACAGAATTGGGGTCTGCCAGTGTGAGGAGGTGGTCAGTTTTCGTGAGATCTTTAGAGGGGACCGTATGATGTCAGAGAGTACCTCTTAGTACAGCTTTTGCCTAATCTTTTATGATAAAAATAAACCTATGTTGTTTGTCCCCAGTTCCTGGCACAGAGGTTCTAAAACCCTCCAAATCCCCTGAGTGAGAAGAGCATCTTTGTATGATAATGAAAGGACTCAAGGTAGGCGCCAATAAAGAGTTTCAGGAAGGGCTCTGGCCCCCAGATCTGAGGGTTAAAAGTTTTATCCCCACCTGTGGGCCTGGGGATGCCGTTGAGCTGGAGATTGAATTCAGTCACCAGTGACCAGTGATGTGTTCAACCTTGCCTCTTTAATGACACCTTGATAAAATCCTCTAAACAAGAGGGTTTGAGGAGCAGCTGGGTTGGTGAACACATTCAACCAGAAGAGGGGTGTACCCTGACTGCACTGGGATAGAGGCTCCTGCACTTAGTGATTTTCCAAAATTCGCCCTGTATGTCTCTTCATCTGGTTGTCGATTGTGTCCTTTATAAGAAACTGTAATCCGAAGTATGGGATCTTCCTGAATTCTGTAAGCACATTATCGCACCTCCGTGGCAGGGGCACGTTGTGGCTCATGGGAATTCCAGATTTGTGTTTGGCCTGGGAGAAGTGTGGGTCACTGAAGGACCCCCATTTATACCTGGCATCTGAAGTGGAATCAATCTTGTGGGGCTGAGTCCTTTATCTGTGGGATCTGCGCTAACTCCACATAGTGTCAGAATTGAATTCAATGGAGTTGTAGGAGAATTGGGAATTGTGGTATTTGCTGTCATGAAAAGCCACACACTACTTGGGATGGTGAACACACAATACAATATACAGATGATATGTTACAGAATTGTACCCCTGAAACCTACTTAATTTTATTAACTGATGTCACCCCAATAGACTCAATAAAGAATATAAAGAAAAGGAAAGAGAAGCCATGCACTGCACAAGGCCTTTTGGAAAAGACTGCAGACATTCTGATTTGCCAGGAGTTTTTGTAGGCCCAAAGATCTGAAGAGGGTGCAATTGTGACAACCTATAGTGATTTCTCTGTTACAGTGAGAGAAATCAGCAGCACTTGAGTTGGTGCAAAATGAGATTATTAAAGCCTGATTATCTAAAATGTATCAGGAATACAAAAAGTGCTTAAACTTTGGCTCTGAAATTATTGTGAAATACCTGAATATTAAAGCCAGTTTAAAAATCCTTATATCAATAATTACCATTAAACTTGGAGTTAAGCCCTGTGTGGTGTGGCTCAGTAGGTTGAATGCCATTCTTTGAACTGAAAGTTCGCTGGTTTTGATTCCTGATCAGAGCATATACCTGGGTCACGGACCAGGCCCCCTGGTTGGCATGTGAGAAGCAGCCAATCAGTGTTTCCCTTTCTTTGTCCCTCCCTTTCCCTCTCTCTAAAAATAAATCTTTAAAAGGAAAAAACTTGGAGCCCTGGCTGGTGTGACTCAGTGGATTGATTGCCAAACTGTAAACTGAAGGGTCACCAGTTCAACATCCGGTCGGGACACATGCCTAGGCTTCAGGCCAGGTCCCCAGCTAGGGGTGTGGGGGAGGCAACTGAGATGTTTCTCTCACACATTGATGTTTCTCTCCTCCCTTCCTTCCCTCTGTAAAATAAATAATTTTTTTTTAAAGTTGTCTCTCTTCGTGTTTATTTTTAACAGTTTTACAACTTTTACTTGATCCATGCTTTTCCTCTGCCTTCCAGGCTACATTTGGGTAGGGTTCTCAGGTAAAAAATTATATATGGGAGGCAAAAATCTTCAGGTTGGCCAGAAACATAGTCCAGCCTTGAGCTAAACTTCCTTCTTTCATTTCATGCATCATAGTGTCCTTGTCTCATCTGTCATCTCTACCTGATAACTTTTCAGACAACTTCACTGTGTTTTCCCTGGCTCTTTCTGCTTCTCTTTCTAAATAAATGATTCACTAGTAATAGCTTCATTTTACATTTTTTTTTCAGAGATAATCTCAGCTCCCCGTGCAGACACTCACTGCCATTACAGGTGATGTGGTAATTACTACCCAGCAAGGAGACGAGCTCATGGGGTCACAAAACTTTATCTCAGGGATAAGATGCCCCCTTTGCACACATGCTCCAGGTGCAACCAGGACACCTACTATTCCAGCAGGTAATGACATTTGGTAAGTGGAGCGTCCTTTTAAATAGATTTTCATAGGAATATGACATTGCTTAGAGAATATCTTAAGAAATGTGTGTAAATATAATCGTATTTTTCTGGAGTGAGAACATCGACACAGGCATGTGCAGAAGGGATATTTTCTGAGGGCTCCCAAGAATAGAGACCCAGCATTCTTGTCCCTGGGCTGTCTGCCATCTGTCCTCTGCCTCTGTCATAGCTCTCTGAATTTCCAGGGTTAGGGAGCAGGAATCACCAGGTAATGTTACTACATTAAAACCCTGATGTTTAACTAGATGTAGAGGTCCTCTGGTAGTCCCTGAATTTTAGCAGCTGCTTTGAATTTGTGTGGTTTCCAAAGCCATTATCGCAAACTAACCTCGAGGTCTGTCCTGACCACCAAGATCGCAGAACGAGGAGCTGTTGAAAGGGATTGTCTTGCCATTTTTTCCAGGAAGTAAGATGAGTGCAGCGTAGCTCCTAATTGTGCCTCAGTAGAAAGCAATTGGACCTAAAAAGTGAGGTGGGGCTTTATTTGTGCATGAATGTCTGTATTTCTTAAAGGGCACGTGGGACCAGAGTTCACAGGATGTTCATGTCTACATTATTTACTTAAACTCTGTTATTCTTACTCCAGTTCAATTGACATATTTAATCATTATTAAAATTCATTTTTATGATTTATCTTTATTATGATCACCATTCATGAACAATTTTCATATCTCTTATTTGGATTTGTTCATCTATTTTTATTTATTTATTTTCAGAGAGAAGGGGAGGGATGGAGAAAGAGAGGGGGAGAGACATTGATATGTGAGGGACACATTGATTGATTGCCTTTTGCATGCCCCCAACCGGGGACCTGGCCTGCAACCCAGGCATGTGCTCTGACTGGAATTGAACCAGTGACCTTTCGGTTTGCAGGTCAGTGCTCAATCCACTGAGCCATACCAGCCAGGGCTCCTTTTAAATTTATTATTCATTTTCCTTATAATTTCTAACAAAAATTGTATTTTATATTTGTTATTTTGTTCTCTTCAGAAAGATTTATATACTTTCAAAGTTAGAAAATTTATGATCATCTATCTCATTGAATAAGGTGGGCACTTAGAATATAATTGTTCTTATGTAAAATAAAATGTTTTCTATTCTGCACTTCATCTTTATATTTTAATATTTTTATGCCTTTCATCTCATATAAATTGTACTTTTTTCATATTCTAATAAGTTATGCATTGTTTACTAAGTAGTTATCATAAGCTTTTAAAATACATATATACTCCTATATGGTTTATCCGTTAGATTTAGATTTTTCTATATATATGCTAGTCTGTAATGTTATATTTTTGGCTAAATGGCATGCAGTAGAAATTTAGCTTCATTTTTTTCAAATAAGTATGCAGATATCTTCATACGTAGTAAATAAGCTTTTATTTCCCAACTATTTTTTAAATTCCTTTTAGTTACACTAAATACCTATACATCGTTAATTTATATACAAAAAGATCTATCCAATTTTAATCTATATTTACCTGCCTGCCTCTCTACCTCTCAAATACTTTACAACGTTTTATAGGCATTCTTTTCATAGTCTGTTTCATTGCCTCAGTTTTATTCTGATTATTGACTAACAGTAAGCTTTCTTTTTTTTTAACAGTAATACCTTTTTTCAAATAACTAGTAGAGTTAATCCTGCCATTAAACTCTATTTCCTTTATTTCTTTTTCACTAGCACAGGAAACGTGTAAATATTATTTGGTTATGTTACATTGTTTATGCACACTTATTTTATGGGTTAATTTCTAATGTTAAAACTTCCCACATGGGACCATGGTTTATCTTTGCTTTATTTAGGTCTTTTTTCTTTGTTTTTTAAGTTGTGCAGTTTTTTTCAGTGGTTCTTCCACATGTCTGTAATTTTATGGTTGAATTGCATAATTAAACATATCATTAATAGTACTTTTTGCTCATATTTATGAATACAGTACTGCCTCTATAGAAGAAATGTAATTACTACTTTTTAAACCTAGCATTTGTGTATATTTTAAATCTTTACTAGCATTGATAAGAATTCATTTTATTCATGTTATTTAGCAGTTATGCACCTGGCATCCTCTCTGAATGTTAAACATGTGATTTTGTGATTTCTATAATACATCCAGAG